TGCGAAGGCACATGACGTTGGGGCAGCGGGCTTCGGAGAACGAAGGGGGGAGGGGCCTTGTGGCTGCCCGCCACAGGAATCACGCCCTCTCAGTCACTTGCGCCCAATCCGCTATTGCTGACTCTACCTTGCCACCGAGCCCGGGAGGGTGAAAAAGTGTGGTATATGCTACGCAAGTCTGCTATCAGGATACATTAATTCAAGTAACTTTGCGCCCAGCCTGCTGCGCAACACACAGCGAACCTCGTTGTAGTCGTCAGTCGATGTACACACATGATCTGCTCACTAAACTCCACTGGTACGGCCGCCGCACTTTCAGAAGCAGATTAACATCGAACGACTAAGTGTATCTTTAAGCGACAGTTAGCACCGATGGTGGAGGCTTATCGATTACCTATATATTTAAATTACAATTTAAACCATGGAACAACTATTCCACAATTAAGTTACGGTCTTGCCAGCCTGTTAGAGATCTTTTGACATGATGAAAGAAATGCACGGCTACCCTCGCGGATTAGTGCGATCAGTGCTCCAATGGGACTAGTAATTTCCAGTCAGAGAGGCGGCATCATTGAGAAGAAGCAGACGCGGTAGCTGGGACAAGGACTTTACTCGCTTGACGTTTCGGAATCCATCTCGAACCCATCTTCAGAGACAGCACAAGGTATAGGCGATTTGTACACAGGAAATTATAGTGTTTGTGGGGATGCACTCGCTTTACTACTGCATACCTATGACAATGAACGGCTCCCACTTTATAGATTAGTATTCCCCTCTGATGCGCTGCTTGGCGTGACGACTGCTCGGCCACTTGACTCGCCGACATAGGCGCTGGAAAATGTGTTCGCTTGCGCGCTCTCCAAATGGCTAATTACTTTGGCCAGACTATAACTCTCAGCACGGAATATGTGTTGGGAAGGTTATTGCACTTCTTACGAGATCGGGGCCCCGTAGACCATAACTCAGACAATTATTTCCTAGGACTCACATTTTCGCTGCTTACTTACGTGTACTTGTTACGGCTGTGATCATGCCTGATTTAACCGGCCTCAATGATGTCACGGGCGGTACCTCTTCATGCGCGACGATTGGCGGCAGCAGACCTGAACAGTTCAATCCATTCTCTTCACCAGCGCCGGAGGCCAAATACCGAAGGTCCAAGAACCACCTACATGTCCTGAAGGACTGAGTCGAGCCAGGATTTGCGCTGATCCCCTCTTAGGTAACGGTTTCAAGTCGGGGGCAGTAGCACGGAGCTCCTGAGGTTGACAGTGAAGAACGTGTCCAAACCACCTCAGTCGTCTTTCCTGAATGGCCTGGGATATTGTCGCAGGGAGTGCGAACTGTCTCATTTGAGACGAAGTCGGCGTATTTCACTCGAAGGATGCTCCTCAAGCGGTAGTGGTCAAAGACTTCCAGCTTCTGTTTATCTTCCACGCGCATAGCCCAACATTCGCATC